GCTTGAAAACAATAATAGAAATGCAAATCTGGAAGGGATCCTATGGATTACTGGGTCCAGCTCCTGTCAAGGAGGCACAGTGGGGAATCAAACTTCCAAACTCTGGCCTTGCAGCCAGTAAATGGTTTGAAGTATGATGTAGAAGTAGGGAAGAATTGGCTGAAATTACCTTATGTAGGGAGTAAGAGTAGCATACATTCCAAGTCAAAGTGTCTCTGGTAAGAATTAGGGATTAACAGCAATTAAGATGTTTTTCACCATTTGAATTAAAAATGACTATTGCTATTTTGACAGTGGACAGTAGTAATGTTATTTAGTGCTGTTTTAAAACATTTGGCAGATGACTGTAATATATTTATGAACTTCAGCTTTAGAAAACACCACTCCAGTTTCAAATATATAAAAATATGTACGGCAGAGCAAAATATTATGCCACTAAAATGAAAAATAAAAATGTAGAATTTTGTTAGAGTTCTGCTGAACACTGGCTTATAAGGAGTTTATTTGCATAAGTATTGGCCAAAATCCTGTTGCTTAGCATATTAAATCACACTTGAGTAGAGCATTGAATCTGTTGGGATTCGGAGTCAACTCCTCTATAAGTTCCACTGATTCAATTGGGATACTTCTAATTGTGATTTATTTAGTATATCTGAATCAATCAAACTCATGTAGTTGACTCAGTAAATCTCCAATGATTTATTGAGCCTACTCTAATGTGACTTACTATTGAAAGCATCAGGATTTTGGCCAAAAATCTAATGCAAAAAGCATTTAAAAATGCATTATAACCATTTTTGCAAGAAGACACTTATCCAGTCTGGTGCAATTTTTTTCTTTTTACTGAGCATAAAGTAAAGAGCTATGTAAAAATAGTAACATTTTATAGAAGTACTTTTGCTTTTGAAGCTATGCTATAAAAATCTATTATTGGCAAGTTAATAGTGAGCCTAGATTTATATGTGGATACTATTTCAGGGCTCTGGCTTTTGCAGAGACAAAAGTAAAGAGTTAGTAAAAAAATCTCAAAAAGCAGTATATAGCTAGGGATCAAATGGTTGAACCTTTTTCAAGAAAACTGCATAAGCTAGACAGCCCAATCCCAGCATCTTCATGAACGTATAAAGTAAAAAAAGAAAAGAAAAAAAGCCAGCCTATAAAAGTCAGGTTATGTGCCTTTCCCAGTTGTCAGGTTTTACTTGCTGTTGAATCTTAAGGAGGAAAGAACTGTAGTTCATTTCTTTTTTATTTAAAAGTGGATGTTGAGCTGTATTCAAATCAAAGAGCTCAAATTCTAAAGGTGAGCAATTTTTGTGGGTATCAGAAAATAACATTAATGTGGTATCCTTTGTTCCTGCATTTTAACTTATTCTTACTTCTGAGATATATCATATTTTCTGTATAGCAGCAGGAATAATGCTTGTTGATGTGAAATAGAACAAGAACTTGTTATAATTATGGATCACATCAGAAATAATATATATATTTTCAAAAAGCTTCTAGCGACTTCATTTATTTGTCTTTGTCCACTTACGTGTATTCCCATGATGTCTAGGAAATTTGAGTGAGATTTTTCACTAAAGTAACAGTTCACTATATGAAAAAGCCAGTTTATTTAAGAAGTGAAGATCAGCAATTACCTTTGCAGAGAAAAAGACTTAGATCTGAATACACATTTGAGATACATTTTGGGACTGGTGTGTTTTGTTTTGTTTTCACCCTGAGTTATCTTTGACATGTGAAACTAATTGTGCAGTTATTTGACTGCTAGTTAGACTGAACCAGCATGGGACAGTTTGTTTTTATTAATTCACAAAAGATGTGCAGCTGTTAGAAACCTGACAGCCACTGTGAACCCACACGATGCTGCTGTTAAAGAATTAATTCTGTTAATGTATGACCAACAACAGAAATCTGTGCTCTTGTTTTAATTACTCCAACAGATAAGAGAGATGCTAACCACTCACCCATTCCTAGGTTAGTAAGAAGCACACTTACATGGAAATGAAGCCTGTTACAGATAAGAGGCTGTTTAGCTGCAATCACACAGATTTAGAGGCTTTAGAAAATTCAGAACCAGCCTGGTGCATATCCAAGCTAATAATATTACCCTGGAACAACCGACAGCTTAGTTGGAAGTTCCAAATGTCAAATGCTTAGCGATACGATGTACAGATGATTAAAACATGGACAAAATGTAGAGTACATACAGCAATTGCAAAAGAATAGGCCAGAATACACATTAGAATTGGCTAGGAAATTTGTAGAGACTCTCAGATACACATTCTACCCTTGGACACTTTTCATAAGAGCTCTGCTCATTTTGACTCTATTGTAGTCATCATATGGGACTGTAAAAACCAATGAAGAAAGAACCATATTTCCCAGTAACATGAAAATGGTGAGTTCATTCATAGTGAAGCATTCTGCTCAGAAGTGGCCATCCTGCTCCAGGCAAGACCAAGGCTAGATAGGTTCTGGCAGCAAAATCAAGATGACCCATGGGTTTAGATTGGTAGGAATTAGAGGGGACAAAAACAAAAGGCAGTACATACAGGGATCAATTTAGCGGAGACTTACCAGACAGCAAATAAAGTTGGTGAGGGTGATCCAGGCTTAGATCCAAACAGAGTTAAGAAGCTGCTTAAGATTCAGATCTTTAAAATACATCCAGTTGGTCATGTGAGCTCAAGAGCAATTTAAATTCATTTACAGTGAGAACCAAGTTGTCCACAAACGTAGCTAGATACAGATGTTGTTTCAACAGGCTCTCTGGCTTTGGAAAAGAAGCTGCAGGAGCCTTGCATGGATCCAGTTAAAGTACTTAACAAGCTTCTTGAAGAAGTCCTCTTTAAGAGGAACCCTCTGCATATGCTCTGTTGTTTACTTATGTGATGTCCTTTGCTGTAGCTGAATATACCTTCTAGGCATGAAGGTTCTGACTTGCCTTTTAAAGTGCTAATGCTCTTGAAGGTTGGGGGTGGTTCTACTTCTGACTCCTCCTCTTCCTAATTGCTGAGAGATCTGAGCTGCTACAGTGGCTATCAGCCACTTGGTTAATTTACTGTGTTACAAATGCTCTTTTAGGCCCTGTTCATATGTTACAGTTTGGATTACTTTGCCATTCATAAAGGGAGTGCTGCAATCCTGCCACTCCCTCCCCCCTCATGTTACCCTCATACATATGGAGGGTGATGACAGGTGTAAAGGTCAGCATTGCTGTTCTTAGGTAATCTTGACAGGAATGGGACCCTGGAAGGACGGAGGGGCAAGGGGCAAGAATGTATCTCTCTACCAACAGAGCTTTACCGTGGTAAAATAAATCCTTCCATTAAATTCTGGACCCTGTATATTCTTGTTTTTATATATTTCAGATACTTTTTTTCTCATACTTTTGTATAGATTGCAGAATGCAATTTTTAAAAAGAATTGTATTTAAATAATAAAAAAGAAGAAATTGTTTAACTCTAGTAACAGCATATTGAGCTGTTGTACTGCCAACAGACATCATCTCATCTGACCTATTACGGCAGCTAGGAATGTGCAGGGGAATTTCTTTCTTTCTTTTGGTTTGCTTTGATTTCAGGTTCTTTCCTCTTTGGATTTTGGTTTCTTCCACAGTACCATAAAATACCAGAATCTTTTGGGTTGTTTTGTTTTTTACATTCTGTTTTCCAGTGCTAGAGCCAATTAAGCTCCAAAACCCCCTCAAAATCAATAAAAACTGAAGTGGGACATGGCAACAGATAGTCATCTATTCAAAAGTGGGCAATAACAGCAGTAAACAGGAAAGAACAATTCAGTTGAAAGAGTTCACAATAGCTATTTCTCACTGCCACAGAGTCCTTTCCTTTTTCTGTTTCAATTAGAGGCTTTGCATATAGTATACCACTTGGTGTCACTATACTGCACAAAATATCAATTGTATGATTCGTACTGAATCATGTATTTCATGTGTCTAGGATTTGATTTTAAACATGTGAATAATCTATGGATAAGAGTCACTGCTGATAAGAGTCACTTCCAAATGCTGTTTCTCTGTTGTGTACATAGAAGGTCTAAGTGTATGGTCATGAGGTTAATCATTTTTTTGAGCACTGGCACTTTTGATAAGCAATCGCTTTACGTGCTTTAAAGTGGGAACAACGCCTGTATTATACTCCTACTGATATGCCCCCCTTAAATTCCTGAGGAACATTACTGATGGGAATTCTGCCCATGTGTGGACTATTTTATGCAAGGTCTTGATGTGTTTCTGTTTTATTTGTTTATTTATTTATTATTTATTTATTTTAAAAATGAATATATACACATATCAGGGAATTAAAGATATTTCAGTCTGTATCAATGAAATAATGAAAACTAGGAAATGTCCCATTGTATGTATTTTAGCATGAAACTGTATACATTCACTTCTTCAGGTATAAGAAATATATGTTTATGTGTGTAGGAACATAGCCAAAAGGGATACAGAAAATATCTGAGAAAGTGGATTTGTTCCATGAAAACTCATAATAAAATATAACGGTCTTTAAGGTGCCAGAACATTTTTGTCTTTTATTTTTTATGTTTCTTATGGTGTTTGCCTGATATGCCAGCATGGACTAATATGGCTACTTTTTCTAAAACTACAGAAAATGATGGCTAACCTTTCAAAGGGATGCTTAGGTTAAACATCCCTGCAGTAAGTAACCTAGCAGACTTTGATTACAAGACCATGATTAACAGCCAATGTATTATATCAGTTTATGTATTTGCAAAGGCTTTCATGGCCAGGGCCTAAAGGGAGAAACAGTGGCCATTTTCTTTCCAGCCATGCAAAGTCAGCTTTATCAGTGTATTTGATCTATTTTAAATTGGCTGGAGTTTCAGGTAAAACAGAACAAAAGCACTGAGTAATTCAGCTTTTCCATCTAAGCTTCTAAGTTATGTTAACTCTTTTGCCTAACAGACTACACAGTTCAGCTGTGATTCTTTTCCACTCCATCCCTTTTAAACAGGTCCTGATTGTTCTTTGAATGTTCCTTCCATGGAGTCATATTGGATTTTACCTAATGTGAAGCCATTTAGCCCATCTGTAAGCCGGGCATCCCATAAGGCAGTTCTACATGGCAAATTTATGTGGGTGATTGGTGGATATGCATTTAATTACAGCACATTCCAAATGGTGTTAAAGTAAGTCATTTCCTTTGTTTTTCCACATGTGGCTCAAATCATATTGCACTTGGCAGCCTGATATCTCTAGGTTTACTTTAGACAAAAACCATAGCGATAGGCCAATTTAACATTAATCAGACAGCAAAGCCACAGCAAAGGCTTCCGTGAGCCCCTGAACAGAGAGAAAGGCAGGGTACAAAATCAGTTGGATATGTTAACTTTACGTGTCCAAAGGCTAAGGGTAAATTCTCAGGTTAAATATGTTTTAACACAATTCATATGTTAAGATTAAGTCCATATTTATATAAATATGGAATATTTTTTTCCTGTTGAGAAGAAGTCAGCAAAGGGGCTAAGTTCTCAATTAAACTAGAATCTTCATTGCATATAAGCTAGAACCTTCATACTTTGTAATGCTTTCTAAATTGGATATTCCTAGAATTACAGTTAATAAACTTCCACTTCGTCTTTTTAGCTATAACTTGGAAAGCAACATCTGGAACGTGGTACCTGTATCAAAAGGACCTCTTCAGAGATATGGACACTCTGTTGCATTATATCAGGTTTGATTCATCTAGGGTAATGTTTAATTTTGCAAATGTCTGCCCAGCCTCCCCACTTTATTACTTGACGTCTTATGTCTGTGGTAGATTGTCTCATGTTTTTCATAGATGACAATTCAGAGTAAAAAAATATTTTGTTCCACTTTCTAATAAACGATCATTTCATAAAACACTCATACAGTTATGCTTATACTTTAATGTGCAAACTTTCATATACTTGTCTGAACCAAACACCATTAAATTCAGTGGAAATTCAGAGTAGATACTGTATATACTGTACAAGCTTGCTATGTTAAACTGAACCTGATTTCTAAATAGTGTATTTTTCTTCTGTGCCTCCACATACAAGAGAGTTATACATATCTAACATAAATTACCCTTGCATGGAGCTGGGTTTTTAAATTGCCATTATGGACTTCCATTTGATTTCTAAGAACCATATTGTAGACTTCGGGAGCTGGTGCCAAACACAATGCTCTTGTGCTCTATGCATTCTGCAGAACAGATTTTATACATATTGTTACTTGTATTACCTATTGTTTGTTTTTTCTTCTGATTGCTATTGACTTTGTGTGGAGAGCAGGGGACAAGATTCTGGGGTTCTGACATGATTTTTAAACTACTGAAGCTTCCTTGTGTGAGTGTTTCTTAGCTATTTGTTACTGGGATCTCAGATTGCTTTATCTGTCTAGTGCTCTGCCAGTGTCAGACAAGATTCTGGCCACAGTGTTTAGTATTGAAGTCTGTGTTTGTAATCTTCGAGATCCCTGTTTCAGAGTAAGCCCTGTTAGAATGTTGGGCCTTCCATCAAAACAAAACCTGCTAAAATATTTGTTTAATGTATTTATAATAGGAAAAATATTTCAGTTTATATATCTGTTTGTTTTGTGATGTCAGAGTGCTTTATGGCTTTTGTTTCATTCATTTTGCTTTCAGAAGGCTTGACTCTAACATAATCTGGGCTGTTTTCTCAAATAGGAAGCATCTGCTTGGAAGAAGAATTTTTTGGTTGAGAGGTGCAGTTGGGCAGGTTACAAACGATGTCTCTATTCAGTAGACTTAGGGCTGAATTTGATCCTGCACTAGAATATTTTAAAAATCCCAACCTTCCAAAAATTAGGAAAATTAATAATGTGGTTGTAGGGGAATAGGTGAAATTTTTATTTATGTAGTTGTTCCATCTTTCAGAATTTAAGTTTTCATTGCTTTGGTTTAGATTGTAATGCTGTGCATGAACAACTAGTCTTCTTAAGAAACAGTTTGTTTAAAAACATTTTACGCTGCAATCCTATATCTACTGTTGTAGAAAAATAACATTTATTTTAAATTGGTTTGCTCAGTGCTTTCAGATTCATAATATTACTTCTACTTGTGTGTTATTAGTCAATGCAAGGTCCACTGAGCACAGTGGAAAGAAGAAGAAAAATATCTAATTGATAATTTTATCTCCTTATATTAATTTGGTGTCTATGTGGAATTTCCACACAATGGTTCTCAGGTTCACTTGTATTCTGAAAAAAATGAAAGGTGATGTTCCTAAACCTTTACTGTTGTTTAAGGCAACTAAGTATTGTAATTAAAAGGTTGTATTACTTCTTAGGAGGCTCTTACTGTTTTACCGGTTTAGATCATTTGGTAAGGGATAATTTTTTAAAAAGACAAGCAAATCTAGAGTGCTTTTTATTGTGGTCTTGATGAAATATTAAGCAGCCATTTAATGTACAATAAATGGAAACTATGAAATTGGTATTCAGTTACTTTGTGGTAACCTAGATGGAGGTTGTAGACATCAGACAGGGAAGTATTTTAAAAGAAGATAATGAAAATAAGACAATTAATAATAATTGCAGTCCATATTGTAATATGCTAAAAGGTTTGATACTGGCATTGGAGAGCAAAATTGGCTGCTCCAATCTAATGTGGAATGCTCATTGAAGGAAGATGTCAGTCTTAGAATGTTAATGAAAATCCAAGTTTGTTGGTGAATTGAATTACCATATTGACTTATGGAAGAAACACTTACAGCTTAGGAAGGCCTGTGGAATACTAAAGATTTGAAAGCTCAATGGAGCTTTCAGATCTTTAGTATTTGAGATAAAGACACTATGGGGCAACATGAGGTCATACAAATCAAGTACAGTGGTGCCTCGTATGACGACGTTAATTCGTTCCACGAAAATCGCTGTCGAACGAAAGCGTCATCATGCGATATTAAAAAAACCCATAGAAACGCATTAAAACCCAATTAATGTGTTCCTATGGGCTTAAAACTCACTGTCCAGCGAAGATCCTCCATAGCACGGCCATTTTCTCTGCCCGTGCAGTGAGGAATCCGTCCCAGAAAACAGCGGGCGGCCATGTTTTTTACCCGGAGGCCATTTTGAAACAGCCGATCAGCTGTGCGAAAATCATCCCTTTGCGGGGCACCACTGTAGTCTTGTCAAAACAAACCATTAGCCCATTTTGTCCAGTACCGTATCTCATGATCCAAGCAGAAACATTCCTTTGCTTTCCAGTATTATTTTCATTACAGACATTGAGAACTCAACCATGGACTCTCTATATCAGCCCATGTGTTCTTTCCCTGGATTGTGGCCAGAGTAGACAATAGACGTAAAAGCCGGAATATAAGAAAAGTGATAGCTCAGTGAGTTGGGTACTGGCTGCAGAGCCAGATGTCAGGAGGTCAGTTCTCCACTGTGCCAAGTTGGGGAAGAGGCAACCAGTCCCAGATTGTCCTTAGAAGAAGGGAATGGTAAACTGTTTCTAAGTATTCTATACCCAGAAAACACTGGAAACATTCAGTATAGGTTGGAATTTGATGATATGTAATTATTATGATAGCTGAAGAAAGGAAAGGCTAGTGGACTTTTGAAAACTCCACAGTATTTTAAGACAGGTGAAGCTGATACATCTTGCCAGGAAATCATGTGGAGGGACAGGCATTGCAGGCTGGCTGACAAGCAGGGTGAATGGTGTTGTAGTAACCAAGGAAACTCAAGAGTTCATCATGATCACTATCCATAAGGAGTATCCAAAATGTGGGTAGCTGTATTGAGCTACATAAAAACAAACGGTTTAAGCAGTTTCATCTCCACCAAAACCAACAATTTTGTAATGGTAATGGGACTTCATTGCTCATTTTAGAGTAAGTGATTCCAAATGTAGTAAAACAGATGTAGCTCATAATATATTGATGCTACAGAAAATCCGTTACTATAGCTGCTGTGATGACTGCAGCTAAACTCAGAGGGAACATGAAAGATTGAGCAGTATGACAAATAATGTAATTGTCCCTAGTGATTATAAGGCCCAAACACTTTGACCTGTGAGGCCTGCTTACACTAAACCACTGGTCAGAGTTGCTAAATGGAGTGTGACAGAGCAACTGGGAGGCAAAAAAAAAAAAGAGGATATGAGAACAGAGGATGATGGAGACATCAATGAATAAAAGAAAAAAAGGCATAAGCAGAATGTGGGCATAAGGGCAGAAAGGCTGTATACAGATTGTAGGAAAGGAAGTGTGCAAACAAGTGGGGATGGGATGCTGTGAGCTGGAAGCTAAGGGATGCATAGATTTGGAGGAATTTCCAATAGAACAGTCACATTAGTATTATTACAACAAATATATTACAGTATATTACATCCATCTGCCAAACCAGCACATACAGTGGTGCCTTGATTTATGAACTTAATCATTATAGCAGTTCTCCCCTGGTATACCCCAGGCATTCATAAGTCAAAATGTTCATAAGTCAAAGCACCATTGTCCATAGGAATGCATTGAAAACCCATTAATCCATTGTGGCCAAAGGAAAAAAAATCCCCCCCCAAAAAATAAAAATCAAAATCTGCAAGCCCCTGGGGCTACAAAAAAAACCCACACAAAAATAACCCCCAAAATAAGCCCACCAGCCCAATCCCACCCTGCAAAAGGCACACAAAACAGTAAAAAGCAGCACACTTACCTCCCCACGAAGCCTCCTCTCAAGCCTCCCAGCCATGTTTAGCTGCCCGGGCTCCACCGCCACGGAAGACACCATCAGTGGGGAGCCTCTGGGAGCTCACCCGGCCTTCCCCGCAGCCGTGTGGGCCCCACCATCGCCGATCGCCGCCTTCAGGCTAGGCCCAGTCTACCCCCTGGGAAAGCCTGAAGGTGGCGATTGGTGGCAGCGGGGGACCCCTGGGAGGTTTCCCATGGTAGCTGAGAAGCCCTGGGAGGCCTCCGAATATAGCGATCGGCCATGGTGGACGACCCCCGGGAGGTCTTCCATGGTGTCGGAGAAGTTCTTGGAAGCCTCTGAAGGTGGCAATCAGCGGTGGTGGGGGACCCCCAGGAGGTCTCCCATGGTGGCTGAGAAGCCCTGGGAGGCCTCTGAAGGCAGCGATGGCAGTGGCACCGGAAGCCTGGGAGGCTGAGCCTCCCTTTCCCTAGCCGTAGGGGCGAAAGAGCTACAAAGAAGAAGCCTCTTCACCAACGGTTCGGATTTTTGAATTTCCCACCCCTTTTCCCTGCTTGTTTCTGTTCATAAGACAATGCTCCAGCTGCAATTCAAAGCAAAATGTTGCGGCCGGAGCTGTTAGTAAGTCAAATTGTTTGTAGGTCAGGGCATTCGTAAGTCAAGGCACCACTGTACTGCCAAACCGGCAGTTTGTGCCCATCTCTTATATAGTGGTAGTCTGGAAGTTGTCAGAGATGTGTCTTAGGAGTCTGGTTATCTGTTACTATATATGATAAGTAGAGGATAATATACCCTTATAAATCTGTCAAACGCAAGCATATTTGTCCAAATACAAATACTGTTGTTCTTTTTTTACATGTTTATAGTAAATGTTCATAAAGTTTAACCAAGACCAAGTAAATATTATTTCAACTGCTGGCACACTCAAGGAAGAATGCCATTCATGCTCTGTGTGGATTTTAATGCTATCCTCAGACTGCTGTGTACAAACTCTCACACATTTCAACATGCTAAAGACTTAATAGGTTTTATTTGGCATAATCTTTCATGAACTGTAGTCCAGTTCTTCAGATATACACCTCATTCATCTCAAAAAATAGATTGTAGTTCATGATAACATATGCCAGATAAAACTTTGCAGTCTTTCTGCTACCATATGACGTATTTGTTAGATGTCCTCTACCTTTGAATTGTGATGAATTCCTTCAAAACATGACTTTTTGCTATCTTTGAAGCAATTTGTAAGAGAAACGTCTGCCTGGTACAGTTCCTGCTACCAAGGAGGCAGGAAAGATCTGACCCTAGAAATACAACGGAATAACAAGCTTTGTATGACTGTGTGAAAATAGACATGTTGAATTTCAAATGTTAGTGACAAAAGGCTGAAGACCCTGTATCAGGTTATTTCAGACAGGCTCTCTATCTGAGAAATGAGAGTAAAACTGGTTTTGATTTCTCTTCTCCTCCCCACAACAGCCAATTTTTTTTAGAATTTTACATTGGCATAACGCAAGCAGCATAACTTTTGGAAGCTAATTGCCTTACGTTTGGAAGTCACCATAGACATTATCCATTGAATGCTGAGTTATGTAATTCAAAATGCAATCGATGTTGTCTGTTGTGATTTCTTAACTTGAGTTGATTCATCTCCAAAAGTTATACTTTTTGTGTTGTATTTGTTGGCATTAACTGAAAGGATTTGGGCTATTGGTAGTGTCAACTTGTCTAGCCTTATCCAGCCCCTTATTGTGCTCAGACAACATTCAAGAGCCCTGACTGCTTCCTCAGTGTTGCAGATCAAGGAGCAATAGAGCTGGGTATATTGGTAGTACCTTACTCAGAGTTCTGAACAACCACTCCCAATAGCTTCATGTTGATCTTAAACAAAGTAGGTGATAAGGTGGAGCCCTGAGGGATGCCAAAGGCCAAGATGTTGAACAGTGCTTTTGCAACACCACTTTTTCTGTTTGTCCTGACTGGAGGGATCAGAACCAGTGTAATACAGTGCCTTCAAAAGCCAACTTAAACAGGCAATCTAATAGGATACCATGGGCAATGTATCAAATGCCACTGAGAGGTGTAGGAGAACTAATAAGGTTGTGATCTCTTTATCCAGTCCCTGTCATAGGCAACCAAGGTGGTCTCAGTCCTGTATCCTGGTTGTGTTTTTCTGTTTCTAACAACATATTATACATTTGAAAATATTTAGATTTCTATTTAAGAATTTAGAATTTAATACTTCAAATCAAACACTACCACTGAAATCCTATTGCTTAGTGTAAGCCAAATTGTAGCTTTTGTTTCCTTCTTCCCCAGAAAATAAGTTCTCTTACATGATTCTTGGTGAATGTGTGCATGCTAGCTTAGTGTATGGAAACATTACCTCAAGAATTGCGGTGGGGACATTTTGTTTCCCAGAGACAAATGGACTGAAAATTGCAATTTAGATTACTCTAAGCAACAGGACTTCAGCCAAGATCTGCCTGTCTCTTTGTATACAGTTATCTTTGTATGTACCGCCTTCCCCAAAAGTCAGACATGTTTGTGTGGAGAGACGTGAAGAACTGTCTCATTGTGATGATAGCAGTTGTTGAAGGGTCTGAATGAAACTGTGTTCCAAGTAATATATTTTTTTAACGGTGTGGATATATTTTCTCATTATGGGGGAGTTTGTTTCCTTATTTGTTGGTTGCATTGGGGTACCAGATGCCCCACTTAAACCCTGAGCTATGTTTACTGTGTGTATAGAACTTGATTTAAATGCTGAAAGTGATATGTATTTGTAGATTTTATATGACTTGTATTATTTCTTCTGTTTAAAACAGGATGACATTTACATGTATGGAGGCAAAATTGAAACAAATACTGGGAATGTCACTGATGAATTATGGATATTCAACATACCCAGTCAGACATGGAGTACCAGAATACCAGCAGTACTTGTTCATGGTCAGCAATATGCCGTGGAGGGCCACTCTGCACACATAGTGGAGTTGGATAGCAGAGACATTGTCATGATTGTAATTTTTGGTTACTCTGTGATATATGGTTACACAAGCAGCGTGCAGGAGTACTATATCAGTAAGTTTATTTTCTAGTGTATTCTTAATAGGCAATTTAAATTTATGGGAATAGGAGGTATTCCCCGTTTGTAGGTTTCACTTCTATGGAAGTTTGAACAAGATTATCCATATTCTGACCTTATGATATGGCAGCTTTAAACAGCAGTGCTGCACTGCATCCAAACCATTCTCTAATGTTTCCTGCCCAAAAATGTCTTTTCCACACTTTTTTTCCCAGTCATTTTATCTTGAGTGATCAACTGTATTGCATTTTTTATTTCACGTTGAGTGACCAAAGTACGAGAGAGAGGAACTGACCAAATGACTTGAATTCCTTTTACTAGCCCAGTCATTTCCCGCCTGATCTCTTATTGCTGGATTAAAGGAATCCCCTCTTGCAATTCATGTTGCGGTTAAGCTTGACAAATGTAAAGAGGTTTGCCTTTCTCAGTTTTTGCTTCACCATTCTCCCGCAGTTATGTATATAAGCCAACACTCCATCAGAAGCACACTTACCTTTTTGGCATGGTAATGTAGTGAAGAGAATGTACTAGAAGGATATGAATTGAAGGAGCTTCTCTTATATTGACCTAACTAATTACATAAAAATGTGGATAGAAGAAGTAGAAATGAGTTGTACTGTTGGGGTAATATTCAAAGAGGGCACTTATGCAACAGTAACCTCTTGGTTCTTGCCCTTGAAAAATTACTAGCTAAACATATAACTGTACCATAAAATTTCCTTTCCTAGAAGACGTTAATAATCCCAAATCCATGTCTCCTCTCTCAGTGGCATAGCTAGCATTTCTAGCACTAAAATAACTTCCTTTAAATCTAAAACTGCACATTATTGTTTGAGTTTATCCTTTGTATCATACTAACAATTAAAATAGCATTTTTTTCCAACTCTGCAGTTTCACTAGAGTCCAGCAGGATGCACTGTAACACCATCTTATTCATTTCAGAGTACAAAGAAAAATGATGTTTAACAACTGAAATGCTTCTTTCTTACCAAAAATTCCTTTTGTAGTTGTAGCAAGAAATACACGGTTTGGCAGTTGGGACCTGAGCAATAAGGCTCTTAACTAATGAGGTCATAATCACTAAATAGCAAGGATGAGAAGAACTGTGCTTCTTTTAAATGTTCTGAGGAATTCATATATATATTTTAAAAATTGTACACAGTCTTTCTTTTAATAATCATTAATTGATGGCTGCTTTACATATAGCGAACAGTCATTAAGTAGTTCATTTTTAATTACATAGCATCAAGGTTGTAGGCAGTACATATAACCAAGCTGCACTGTTCCTATACTGTCTATATGAGCAATTTGAATTTGGTGGTGTGATGTTTCTAAGGAATATAATTGGCGAAAAGCCAATAATTGTCTTTATCTGAACCTGATTCTCCAGTCATTGTCTCAGCTCCTGCAGTATTTATGAATATTAATATTTTTAGTGAACAGAAAATGCTACAACAATTAGAACTTTAAAAAAATGGTAGAGAAAGGTAACACAGGCAATGAAGGAAATCATTACATGGAATAAACCGTAAAACAACAAGAAAATCAATTAATTTAAGGTCAATATAGATAAGAAATTAACAATGTCTATTACAGATTGACAAGTTACTGGCGAATGTATTTATTTATTCATTAATATATTTCTACGAGCATGCCACTTTTCCCATAAAGGGGTGTGGGACAACCCACAATAATTAAAATAGAAATAAAGTTTTTTAGAAATACAGTAGATTTTTAAATTCCAGGCACTTCATACTTAATGACCAGGTTCTGTTTCTACGACTAGGTTGTTAAGTGAATTGGTCAATAAGTGAGGAGCAATAATACTGTATACAAGGGTAATAAATCACATGCTGTCAAGAAGGGGCGTGGCATGCATTTACAAGGGTTGTAAAGCATCATAAATCCGAGTGGTCATTAAAGGGGTAAATTGTTAAGTGAGGAGTGCCTGTATTGGTTACAGTCATGTCAAGGATAACTAGTTCTCTATCATATTGATATGGTTAAATATTTGTTGAAATTACAATAACACATTACTTAGGAATATCATCTGCTTCACGCAGGTGTTTCTAGTACATTGGCCTAGAGGAGTAGCTTTAGGATGATGCCAGTGTTGTGAAATGGTAGACAGTCTTTCAATTAACTGGGTCAGTTATCCAGTAACTATGTTATATTCCAGTGAGCCATTGCCAAAGTACCAAAATTATTGCCTCAATTAAACTTATACTCTTAACTGTATGCCTGCCCTTTAGTAACTGTAAGCAAACATTTAAAAACATCAAAATACCTTGATTTTATAAACTTGAATTCTGTCCTTCAATAGAAATGGCAAGGAGTAATAAAGGTACCTCAGTATAAAAGGATATTATTCTAAAAAGTAATTAAAATATATCTGAGATGTAGAATTAAGCTAAGGATTATGGCAAGCAACTTTCAATGGAGCTAAAGGCCAGCTGAAAAAGAAAATGTAAGCAGAACTGCTCCAAACCCCATACCAATCCAGCACCTTTCTTCCCTAGTATACTGCCAAAGGACTGGAGATGCATGTCATTGCTAAAGAGTTAGTTGACTGCTCTGTCTGCAGGCATGTCAGTTATGACTGAAACTTACAAGGCACAAGAAAGCCAGATAGTTCTGTCATTGTTTAGGTAGAGAATGGGGCTTCCACTGAACCTAGTCCACAGTTTTAGCCCAAAACTAAAGGGATTTTTCAACATTCTAAGATTAAAGAAACATTAAGCTAACATGGAATTTTTCCATGTTGTAAATGCATTTACTACATGCTCCCTTTTGACTTCATGTAAAATATAATCAATTTGCTCCTGATGGAAGCCAGCATTTATGTTTACACTGTTATGTCACTACAAATGGTTTCATGGAGGAGACCAAATCTGAAACTGTTTTCTCCATAGTGGTTGCAAAGTTCGACTCCCCCCCCTCCTCTGTTCTTTGTAACCGGGCAACTCTATCGAGGCTGCGATCTGAAGGTTTTTGTGATGGCACACGCACCCAGCTTTTACTCTTATCTCTACCTCTCCTCATGTATAAACAAGGCAGAGATTTATAACTTAGGAAGCCAAGCCGTGTTCAAGAGCCCACATTGTTTCTCTTTCAGCCTCCGGCTCTCCGGTCAAAAGTGAAAGTGTTTTCTTTTAGATTAAAGACAATGCAGCTACGCTTCAAAAGTCCTTCTATATTTGCCAGAAGTTTTCATAAGGAGTTTAAAAGTTATTTACTTACAGGACCCGCAGGAAGAAAGGCATTTATCTTCATTTTTTAGATATCGGGTGAAGAGACAGATATTCAGCCTTGCTTCGCCATCCTGGCGGAAGTGACGTCTCAACTAATGAGGTCATAATCACTAAATAGCAAGGATGAGAAGAACTGTGCTTCTTTTAAATGTTCCGAGGAATTCATATATATTTGTAAAAAATTGTGCAGTCTTTCTTTTAATAATCGTTAATTGATGGCTGCTTTACGTATAGTGAACAGTCATTAAGTAGTTCATTTTTAATTACATAGCATCAAGGTTGTAGGCAGTATATATAACCAAGCTGCACTGTTCCTATACTGTCTATATGAGCAATTTGAATTTGGTGGTGTGATGTTTCTAAGGAATATAATTGGCTAAAAGCCAATAATTGTCTTTATCTGAACCTGATTCTCCAGTCATTGTCTCAGCTTCTGCAGTGTTTATGAATATTAATATTTTTAGTGAACAGAAAATGCTACAACAATGAGAACTTTTTAAAAAATGGTAGAGAAAGGTAAGACACAGGCAATGAAGGGAATCATTACATAGAATAAACTGTAAAACAACAAGAAAATCAATTAATTAAAGGTCAATATAGATAAGAAATTAACAATGTCTATTACAGATTGACAGGTTACTGGCAAATGTATTTATTTATTCATTAATATATTTCTACGAGCATGCCACTTTTCCCATAAAGGGGTGTGGGACAACCCACAATAATTAAAATAGAAATAAAGTTTTTTAGAAATACAGTAGATTTTTAAATTCCAGGCACTTCATACGACCAGGTTCTGTTTCTACGACTAGGTTGTTAAGTGAATTGGTCAATAAGTGAGGAGCAATAATATTGTGTATAAGAGTAATAAGTCACATGGCATGGAGAAGGGGCATGATAAAGACACAAACACACATTTATAAGGGTTGTTGTTGTTGTTTAGTCGTTAAATCATGTCCGACTCTTAGTGACCCCACGGATCAGAGCACGCCAGGCCCTCCTGTTTTCCATTGCCTCCCGGAATTAGGTCAAATTCATGTTGGTCGCTCCAATGAGACTGTCCAACCATCTCGCCCTCCATCGTCCCCTTCTCCTCTTGCCTTCACACTTTCCCATCATCAAGGTCTTTTCCAGGAAGTCTTCTCTTCTCATGAGATGCCAAAGTATTGGAGCCTCAGCTTTAGGATCTGTCCTTCCAGTGAGCACTCGGGGTTGATTTCCTTCAAAATGGATAGGTTTGTTCTCTTTACAGTCCAGGGGATTCTCAAGAGTCTCCTCCAGCACCACAATTCCAAGGCATCAATACTTCAGCAGTCAGCCTTCTTTACGGACCAGCTGTCCCTTCCATCCATCGCTACTGGAAAAACCATAGCTTTGACTATGCAGACCTTTGTCAGCAAGGTGATGTCTCTGCTTTTTAAGATGTTGTTTAGGTTTGTTATCACTTTCCTCCCAAGAAGCAGGCATCTTTTAATTTTGTGGCTGCTATCCCCATCTGCAGTGATCCTGGAGCCCAAGAAAGTAAAATCTGTCACTATCTCCATATCATCCCCTTCTGTTTGCCAGGAGGTGATGGGACCAGTGGCCATGATCTTAGTTTTTTTGAAGGTGAGCTTCAGGTTCTTTAATTCCTCCTTACTTTCTGCCATCAAAGTGGTATTATCTGCATATCTGAGGTTGTTGATATTTCTTCCAGCAATCTTAATTTCAGTTGAGGATTCATCCAATCCTACCTATCGCATGAT